GTTTAGTGTTATAGATTTCAGTTCTGAGCTGTATGGTTCAGGATGAAGATTTCATTGATTTTTAAGTACATCAACCACTACTAACAACAGTAATGATAATTACTGTCAATAGTAGTATATGTGAAGTTTGTGGAGATTGTAGAATTTTCATAAGTCAAATCACAAACTGGTTTTAGCTAGACCACCACTACCACCAACATTATTACTATTGTTATTATTGTTATTATTATTATTATTAATAAGAACTTTACTTACCTATCAGATGACTGAATTAATTAAAACAAGCTCATTGCAAATAAATATGTATAAGATAAATATAGGAGAAGAGAACGATCTCATTTATTTCTAAATTATGTTAAATATAAACCTTACGAAAGTGTTTACTTATATACATGAACAAGTAGGTATTTATTTCCCATTGAAAATATACATTTTGCCATCCGGGATGGATATATATTATTTATGTTATTGTTAACAGACCATTTACACTTTTCTATTTATCTCTGTTTTTTTTTTGTTTTTGATTGACCCCGAACAGTTTGCATTTGAGCATAAATATTTATGTATCCGATTTTATCTAGTTGAGATATTCCTATTTTTTTCGTGAACAAAAAACGATTGAATTCAGATAGTAGTATACATAAATAGTGGGTATGAGAGATAGAAACAAAATCTTAGGTAATTAGGCTAACAACAACAACAACAACAACAACAACACCATTATCAATAACAACAATAAGAAAATATGCATGAACAATTTATGAAGAGTAGTACTTCAAATACATAAAATATAAAAGAGTCTGCATAGACGATGACTTTATGATTAGATTTTTTTTAAAAAGTTTTCTGTAACTATTCAATAAGTAGATTATTTTTTATGGTCAATTTATAAACATAAGTATGTGCGTGCAAATATATGAGTACATGTTTATTTCATTATGTTCAATTGTATGTATGTATGCATAACAAAGTCGAGTCGACACTTTGTGATTTTAGTTTTTTTTAAATAAAAAAAAATAAAAAGTAAAGTCCATTTTGAAGTATGTGGGTTAATTTATTGATGGTCAAGTAGTTTGAACATTCTATCCCATCTATAAATTTTTGTATTGGCCCAAAAAATAACATTATACAATACTTGTAGTCAATCATGATAACATTAAGTAGATAATAAGATACTTTTCTCAAGAAATATCATAACTGTAAATAAACCTAGTCATTACTAATTTACCAATGATAATATTATATATATAGTTGAAATCATGAGTCAATTGAAGCTAGACCACTATGGAAAACCTGGAAGCACTGGACAGTAATGATAATATTATTAATAATGGTATTAATAGTATAGAATTCTGGTGTAATAACTTTTATTTTCAAGGTGACAGATCCACACCTTTAAAATGTTGGCTACTTGTATAATATTCAAATTGTGATGTTTTACTTTATTCCATAATGTTTGTTTTTTTATTTATTTTGTTTAATGCGGGTTTGCGTGTATTCATTTGTTTATTCATTCATCAAATTGGTTCACTACTACTACTACTACTACTAATAATAATAATAATAATAATAATAATAATAATATAATTTATGTATGAAAATAACAGTACAAAGTATTTTCCTTTTATTTGTGTAGTTGAATATCGGAAAATGGAACAATTAAAATGGAAAAAGCCCATGACCAATTAATTAGTCAATTATCCTCCTCAGAAGAAAGACATTTCATACAGGGTTCTGAATGATGGTTACATCGTATCAGGAATGAATGGAAGTTGAAAATATAGATAAACGGATTTTTAACGGAATGATCTAAGAGGATTGTGCTTACAACCATGAGACATAATATTATCTATGAGAGGGTCGTGAATATGCATCACTAGGAAAATTCAAACTGAGGCGAAATAGCTATTAAATACTCCTTGGTTTTAATGTTTCTTCAAACCATGCCAACCTGTGATGAAATAAACACTTCACAAATCCTTAAACTAAAATAGATTATAATAATAAAATATTTATTTTTAAATTAACGACGATTTCGTGTTACACTTCCATTTATTACCTTTTAACAAAGATCAACTAAGCATGATCTACGATTGCCATATTTTACATAAAATTGTCCTTTTTGTTATGTGTTATTTTCGGGAATTCTTCCTTTCCATAGAATGATAGACAGAGAGCCAGTATAAAGAAGGGACATTTAAACTTATATTTCTTCCCAGAGTGTAAATTCTCATAAGTCGGGGACCCAGTCCTGAACCTTCAGATATTGTGGTATGTGTGCAACTTCTAGACTATTAAGCTGGAATCTATTAGTTTACTTATTTCACTGAACTCATAATTATAATTTTGGTGATCAAGAATATTGATATAATATCTAAGGATGGGCAGTTCCCTAAAAGCCGTTTAGTTGGCATTTAGTTGATTTTTTACATTTTTGAATTACCCACTTCTAGCCAACCATACCGGTGCTATAGATGGTTCATTTATACAGCTGACAAAGGATCCTTCCTAACGTGCTAATGTTTTAACAAGTTAATTTTGCATCCTTTATCCTTGAACATTTTAAGGATATTTTTGTTTAATAGTGGCTCACTCAATAAACATTCTTTAATCAATTCATTAAATGTCCTATTTCTGATTTGACTTTTTTTCGGAACTATTGGAGATGACAGAAGAGAATATATAAACTTTCACGTTGATTTAAAAGGACAGTCGTTATTAGGATTATTTTTCTTTATTATCAAGACGTAATAGCAAAAGCTTATTATTACCAAAATTTCAGCTTGAATTGTTGTTAGCACTTGTCTTTATGAATGAATGTCTTTATAGTATACAAATTAAAGTATCTTCTGTAGATCAGTACTTTGAAAGTTCCCATAAATATTTCATAAATGATAATAATGGTAAGCATAGTTTATAGTGATTACTACTTTTCTTAAAAATTTATGTGAATCAAATGTCAAAAGATAACTAATATCAAACAGTATCCATTATTATGGATCTTGATTTGTCACTCAAAAATACCGTTTTATCACCACAGAGGTTAATTTAAAACACTGTTTTCAATGACAGATAACTTGAAGTGATTATTGTATTAAATTGTGTGTCTAACAAAACTGTTTTATTGCCTTTATGTTTGACATGTTTTAAAAACGGTCTTTTGAAATTAGCGCTACAATCAGGATCTTCTGTCTTTCACCTTGTTGACAGGACATGAAGCAAGATCAATCGATTCCGTCTTTTAAAACAATAATATATTCATTTTTGTGTTGCCCAAGTTTCACTAGCGACATCCATATTGACCATTAAATCTGTCAGAAGTCACACATACAATAGAGCCTGAGAAAAAGTGGTAAGAAGCATGTTTCTCATGGTTGCAATAGTTAACAACTATTATGTAAATGAATTGAAATCTGGTTAAAAGTGGACTATCATAGCTGACTTGTTAGGGTGTATGAATGATACCATGATGACCGCCATTTATGATCTTTCCAAGGTTTAGTTTCTATCGTAAATGTATTTATTAACTCTATATAATTGATGAACTGTTTATTATGATGTCATTTTCTGGTTTAAAATAAACCGATAAAAAACCAGGTAATCGAATCACTATCTCAATAAAATGATAATTTGATTGTTACTAATTCATTCAACAATAAGAAACCACACTCTACTTGGCAAATTTATCAGATTATAGGGTAAGGTTATACAATATATCATAAACCTCATATATACAACTTCATAGTACATTTATGAAAATTCCTTCAGTATTCAGTTTGTTTACATTAGGAATTATTATTGATTATTTTTTAACAAAATTATCCAGCCATTTCATCTGATAGACGTTTTTTAGATAGCGAATGTTAGTACACTACTAAATGTTAAGAGAGTTAAAGTTAGGTATATTAAGATCAGTTTTAGTTCGTTTCTAAACTAGGTAGACAGTAAGAGCATGGCACAAAGTCTTGTTCACCTATTGTGTGAGCCAATTTAGTAGATAGGGATGTATACTAATGGTTGAAATATTTCTTAAGGAATTATTATTAACGTTGTAGTTCGTTGAGTTTTCTTCTGATCAGTTCCACTTATCTTTATATGTTTTATTTTTTCTATATGATGCATTGATCTCAATGATCAACTTAACTAATATATTAGTAGAACTGACCACATTGCTCAATTAAGTTAATGTATTGTAGGTTTTTGATTCGACTATTTTACTAAAAGACATTTTAATCAGCTAAATCACCTACGTTTTACTATTCACAATGCCATATAGTGAATTATACAGTTATCAGGACGGGGATTTGTGAAGATTTTAGTAGTTGGATTCACGATTTGATCTAACCTAGACCACCATTGCAAATCTGGAAGCACTGGGTTATACAAGATCATGGATCGACTGGAGTTAGACATTAACATCGCTGGATGCTGGTTCAGTGGTCTACAGGTTAAGTGTTCGTACGCGAGACCGACAGTCCTGGGTTCAAGTCCCGTGTATGGGATCGTGGATTCGCACTACTGAGAAGTCCCATACTAGGAAGAAACGGTCGTCCAGTGTTTCCAGGTTTTTTGTGGGGTCTAGCTTAGATCGATCCATGAATTACACTCTTAAAATATATAACTGTTTCATTTGAGAGTTCTATTAATCATAGAGAAAGTGAATTATTAATACTTTTTAGTAAGATAATATTTTTTTATTAACATTATAGAAGAGAACTCATTTATTCATAAACTGAAATGTATATTCTTTCATGAAAATAAAATGAAATAAATAAAAGCAAACTATGGACAAATTTATCAGCGATAATTTTAATAGTTTAGTATTGTGATAGTAATAGTTATATAATTGTAATATATTGGAAATCACAAATTGCATTGTATTAAATGTTATCATAAAATTCAAAGATAATATAGAAGTAGTCACAATAAATGAATTGTACGTGTGTGCAAATGTGCTCTAAAATTAGAAATAAAGGTTGATATATAAACAAGTAACATTGTTACATATGTTGTTGATTTAATGATAAACATGCTTGAAGCATAAATTTTCTAAATATTTCTGAATTAGCTAAAGATGAGGTTTGAAGAGGAATTAAATTCGAATTAAATGGTAAATTAGATTCAGAGTTTAGAATTTTTAACTCTGTATTGTGTTGCATAGTATTCATTGGACAGTTTCGTATATTTCGATTGTTGAAGATAGAAGGTGGCATTTGTGGAGTTAAGTTAGTTACACTGTAAGCATTAACTGACTGTAAATTAGTTGAGTAATCGATGTTGGAATAATTCGGTATATCCGATTTTATTGATTTCATTTTAGAGATCGTTGGTAATAAATTAACTGAAGATGATGAGGATAATGGTGATAAATATAATGGGCACACTGATGGATAGTATGGTGTTGAGGATGAACACGGAATCATTTCAGGCGAAAAATCTGTGCAGTCAGAATACTTGTTAAATAATATTGGGGAGGAATGTTTTGGCATTAGCTTTTCTAAGAATTGTTTTACTTGTACATCTGGATATAAATTTTGTAAGTACTTCATTGATAAGTCTATATTGCTTTTTCCCGGATTCAACTGATACTGTTGTATCTCTGATTGATCATTGATAGAATTTGTTAGTTGATACGCTGAATCGTTGAGTAATTGGGCACCTAATTCGATTTTATTTGATGAATCAAGACTATTTCTCAAGGATGTCATCAGAGAAACGCTTGAATCTACGGGAGTTAAATGAACTGATTTCTTCATGTCATCTAACGTATGGTTATTACCTATCTCATGATAATTGAAGTGGTTCATATCATTTCGTTTTATTGCAGATCGAGTAATCATTTTGGAATTTGATGTTGAGGTTGTTGATGTCAATATTAACTTTGATGGTGATGACAATGATGAAGATGATGATGTGACCATAAGCTTCATTGGATCAAACTCCATAGATGGTATATTACAATTTGTATGGTTGCCATTCTCGTAAATATATTTCATTTTTTGTAATTTGATATTGTCAGTATAATCCATAGAATAGGTATGATTTGGTATGTCGACTAAATTATTGCCTACATTATCATTATTACCTCTCATCTTTAAATCATTAATTCTAACAATTTCTCCGAGTTTACAATTTACTCCATCATCAATAATGCTAGTTGGATGTAGTTTTCTGATATGTTTTTTCAAATCAAAATTACGACAAAATCCTTTATCACATATATTACAAATATATGGTTTTTTTGCTTGATGTGTATGCATATGAAAGCTAAGATTGTAAATTTGATGAAACGCTTTATGACAAATATGACATTTATATTGTTTCTCTGTGCTATGCGTCAATTTATGATTCTTATAATTACCTTTCTGATGAAATCCTTTACCGCATACTTCACATGTGAATGGTTTATAACCTAGAAAGTAAAAGGAGAAAAAATAAATAAATAATAAGATGATTTCTAGACAATACGAAAATCGGGTTTCTAAGTAAGCTGGATACTGACTGGCGGTGGAATCCAAACTGCAGATTTTTTCCCTTCCGGGACTCATCAGCAGGATGTTGCTGGATCTACAACGTTGATATTTTTGTATGAAAATGAGTTGTTCAATAACATACTACTTACTTCATAATATAACTGGAATGAAATTCCATTTTAAGTTTAATGATGTCCAACTGCAGAAATCTATAAATCTATCGTTCCTTATTTATCCTTGAAAGTAATTATTTCTAGAGATTTAATAAGCAACACATGAAGTGATGAGATGGATAACATTAACTTTTTCGCAATATAAGTCTCAAGACTGGACAAATGTGCAGAGTAGAACAGATCATAATTAATTAATGTAGGATCGGTGTATTGTTAATAGAAGTCATGACGTTTATTTCATAAGCTGAACTAAAATTCTCATTCTTAATATATATATATATATATATATATATATATATATATATATATATATGTATTTCTTAGGAGTCAACGCCAGATAATCCAATAGAAATAATGATCTATATATCAAACTATACGAAAAATGTCATTCTTAATACTAACAACATATGGAAGAATTCGGATTTCACAGAAAATTTCAAATTGAAGGCAGCTATCTCAATAGCTTCAATTAATGAGTAAGTTATTTGTCTATAGTCTGGCTGTTGAATATAATATATTCATTTTTCCATCATTCTGCATTCCAGACAAAAAATCACCTTCACTTCAGTAGTTTAAATTTAATGTTGCATTTTTCTTTTATATATCCGAACAAACAATTAATTCTTACGCCATTTTTGTTCTTCAGTATGCTATACTGAAGAATATATGGATATACATGTATCGGACCGTAGACTTTGGGGAGTAATCGTACATCAATTGAAAGATAATGAAATTGATAAAGCTTGGATTCCATTACAATATTAAAGTTACCAAAAGTTGCTCATTTTGATTTGTTTCTAAGTGATGAGATAATGATAAAAAGTTCTAGTCGGTAACTCTAATTAAATCGAATAATAATATAAGAGATTTGTGGAAGTGTTCTTTTTTTTAATTTTATGTCATATGGTTCTCATCAGATGATTAAGAAGAAATTTAGTCTGAAATTATACATCGATCTAAGTATAATTTTGATTCAGTTGATTTTTTTTATTACTTCAGTACGATTTCTATACATTTGGCTTATTAATTAATTCAGCTTATTTTCATAGTTGAAATCATGAGTCAACTGAAGCTAGACCACCAAGGAAAAACCTGGAAGCACTAGACGGCCGGTGCGTCCTATTGTGGGACTCCTCAGCAGCGAGCACCCACGATCCTGCCTCGCATGGCCTATCAATCTCGCGCCAGAGCACTTAACCGATAGACGACTGAGCCGGCATACGATGGTATTAATATCTAACTTCAATCAATCCACGAAGTTGAGCAACCGTGCACCAATTGTCATCAGTGAGTTGATATCTCATAACAGACGTGGTTGAACTCCACTGGTTACTGTCTAATCATAGCAATGTTGATTAGATACAACATCGATTTTCATTGGTTAGTACTAAAGTCAATAATGTTATAGAATAGTCAGTTAGTTCTCACCACTAACTATCATCAGTCAATCTCTCTATTTATTTTATATTATGTATACAGTAACATTATGACAAAATGCTTTTTAATCACACATAACTAAAACAAAGTAATTATGATATCTTACCTTGATGTATTCGCGAATGGGTGTTTAAAGTAGAACTTCTGTTGAATGCTTTACCACATATCCAACATATATGTGGCTTTTCTGATGTATGAATAATTTTATGGCGACATAGGGTACTGGCTTGACGAAAACCTTTATTACAAACCTGTTATAAATAAAATAAATGAAATAAAAAAATATTGACATTTGTATTGAAAACTTAATCTGGGAATAGACGTGTCACTGACACACTTATGAGAAAAAGTATGTAATATTCAATGAAATGATACGAAAATTTTATTCTTAACACCCTCTAAAAATTGATCTTCAAAAGAAATTTGATACCATGACGTTTCAGGCTTCATGTTACATTTTAATGTTATTCATAGACGAATAGTAATTGTCAAAAGAAACTACCAAACATCTAACGACTCAATCCAGTACGGGTTATTTAATCACCATAAGAAATATTCATTTTGAGAAATGAATCACTGTCCAGATTCAACTTGTAATGTAGTCTAACAGAACTGTTATTAGTAATGTTATGTAAGTGGGTAATAGCTGGATAGACAAAGTAGTTTGTTTATAACTACTAAGTTCAGAGTTTGAAAACTGTTCATCCTACTTTGGTTTAAGTAACTTGATAGTATAATTAGCTCTCATATGAAGTATAGCTTAATACCACAGTTTCATGATGCTATATAAGTTTCCTGAACATTCTTCAAAAATATGCTGTATAACATTTCTAAAGACTTTGATAATGTAATAAGAAGACGAAGATTATCAGAACTATGTGATATATTAGCGCAATACATTTCGAACAATCTGATCACACATATACTAGTTGACCTTTTATTTTTATATATAAATGTTCTTAACAAGTATATGTGTGATCAGATTGTTCGAAATGTATTGCGTTAATATACCACATAGTTCTGATAATTTTCGTCTTCTTATTACATTATCAAAATTCTAAATACATTTAGATAACGAAAATCTAGCAACATATTATTTAATATAATCGTCTTTGTACATACAGACTTCAGATTTTTTCTGTACATCTGACTTGTTTAATCATTAATAAATAATGGTAGTTTGTAAATAAAAGTAAGTATTCTATTATATATTACGATGCAGTTGTTTGCATAGGTATGAATAGGGTATCTAGATATGTCATTCCTTTTCGTTCACCAAAATCGAATAATTACTTTTAATCCACTTTTCGTTACTAAAAGAAGGGGAGGAAGGAATACGAATTGGTAGATTTCATTGTTATTCAAGTAATTTCAAAAGATCTCTTCAATTTGATTCAATTGTTATGAGAATATTTGGGTTATTGAATACATTAAAAGTACCATATTCTCAGATAGATTCGAATACTTAGTTTGATCAAACTATAATCAACTATTACTGACCATTTACACTTATTCAGTTGATATCAGTTCATAAGAAGATCCCTTTCAAGTCTAGATTAGAAACCTATTTAAGAGATATGATTACTATCATAGGAATTAACCGAAATATATTAAATTACATCATTTCAATACCAATGTCTACTGTTTGTGTACTGTTTACATTAAACGTTTATTGTTAGATTTAAATGTCTCTAGTTGTTCGATTTGTATATATATTTGTTTGAGGGAGGCAAAACCCGACTCACACGTCCTAGTCGTGCCTCCTCGATCATGGGATTGTTTCCATGATCTAACGTGAGCAGTAACCCGGGTGGTGGAAATCGGCCTAATCATCCACTCTACCTATGCCCATAAATTATTATGATTGCTACAAAGAATCACTGCATTATTATTTTTGGTTCAAAAAGAAAGAAAAAATGAGTCTGCCCAAAAAATAAAAGAATGATGTAATGATTCTGCGTAAGCAATGCAAAAACAGCTATTGAGCCTCGGTAGTTGTTCAATGTAGCACTCTTCTCCAGAAGGGCCTACTAGGCTTCACCATGTTACTGTGGCTGGAAGGAGGGTAGTTGTTCAAGGTCTTACTTTCGTAAAAACTTCATATCTCAGACTGAATGGATCTTAAACGTTACAAACAAATGAGTTGTGGTATCTTAATGTCCCTTAATGATCCATTTGATGATTAGTCAATAATGTTATCCTTATTTATTGTCTTTTTATGAAATGCATTTCATAAATAAGAAAAATTACCTGCTTTTTCATCCTGATGTAAACTTAATTAGTAATAATAAAATTAAAGTATATACTTTATTTTGTTATGCAAGACATAATACAGATTACATAAGCACATTTTTTATAACAAATAAAAAAATGATTCAATCCCATGTGGATAAAGGCAAGAAAGTTTGATTTCTAATTAGTTCAAATAATTACATTGCTCATTAACTAGTTGAGATTACTCTCATTAGATTTCCAATTAATCCGGTAATGGCTATACAATGAAAAGAAGTCAGTTGCAGCCTGAATAGATCAGTTATAACGTCTTATAGTATGAAGCTGGGTGGTGAAGATCCGGACCCCACAGAGAGTGTCAGCCCCCTCAGGATTACGAGTACATCTTACCGACAAGTGTCAAACAACACAAAATCTGTGTTCATGGTTTCCTACCAACTATATCCAGTCACCTAAAATTTTAACAAATAGACAATATCTAGGCTAAAAGTTCTGCAACATGTCTGAGTGATTCTAACGTTAAATTTATACAGCCCGAAGTTCTTCACCATAAACTATTATTATCTAGTTATGTGTCGAAGAAAATGTATTAGAGCTATGCTTAATTAAAGATTAACTGAATTTGAAATTGGCGATCAATAATTTTGGACTGGTTATTCCGATGAAATGTCAATACCTTAACCTCAGTCTAATATGAAGTTATTTGTGTACCATGTGAAAAAGTCTTAGAATAGGAGGAAGCATGAAGAACTAATCAATATTTCATTCTCTTCACTGATCTATCTAAGACGGTTTGTGAATAAAAATCACCTTCGAATCCAACATAAACTAAATTTTTATGTTAATTTTTATCAACTCAAATAAACAAAACTATATTATATCTTACTTTACAAATGAAAGGTCTTGCACCGGTATGAATAGGCATATGCCTTGTTAAATTATAATGAGCTGTAAATACTTTACCACATTCTGGGCATGTATATGTTTTATTTGTAGACGTATTATCTGACGTGTTCAACTCAGAATTAGACTTTTTCTCATCATCATTATCATCTTCTTCCACTAAGACTTCATCAGCCTCTTCTCCATCATCATCAACATTAATGTCATCATTATTCTGTTCAATTATTTTTATCTTCACATTGTAACTATCATCATTATTATCCAATTTCTCAACAGAAAAACTCCTGGAAGTTAGATTTATATCCTTCATTGTTATATTTAAATCATCCTGATGAAAATTATCAAGATTTGAATAAACAGAATTATAGAATTGTTGATTTTTATTTATAACATCATCCAATAAATAGTTTGATTGTTTTTTCGTGTCGTTCAAGCCATTATTGCTGCAAGAAGTATTCCTGGTATTATTATTATTATTATTATTATTATTATTATGAAGACTTGACGTTGATCTCAGCATTTTATTATTAGTTGTCGTTGACTTTTGTAACTCTTTTATGTACATACCAGTTGGCATAAATAAATTTTGTTCACTGTTACACATGGTTGTCGTCACTGTTGTAGTAGAAATTAACTTATTATTATTATTTGATCGTTTCGAGTTGAAATTCGGCTCACTTTGATTAACATTATTTCTGGTTGATCTAACATGTGTAATTGTTGTTAATTGTGAATGATCGATTAATCGTTCAATAGAAAAATTTCCAAGTGAAGTTGTCATTTGTCAAACAGTCTTTGTTTAATAAATATAAAGATTTTTCTATAAAGTAGGTAAATAAGTAAATAAATGATGATAATAATGATAATCATTGCTTATTTTTGTAATACAAAATTTATATTAACATAATTATTTACATTCAGAATACAAGCAACTTGATAATGCTAAATAAATCCCAGTAGTTGAGATCATGAGTCAATCGAAGTTAGACCACCATGGAAAACCTGGAAGCACTGCACGGCGGTTTCGTTATATTGTGTGACCCCTCAACAGTGCGCATCCACAATCCCGCCTCGCGAGATTCGAACCCAGGACCTATCAGTCTCGCGCGCGAGCGCTTAACCTCTTGACCACTGAGCCGATCGGCATACAACGGTATTATTGTCTAACTTCAACCGATCCACGAGATTGAGCGACACATCAACCATTGTTTTCAGTGAGGAGTCCCACAAAAGGGACGAAACGGCCGTCCAATGCTTCCAGGTTTTCCATGGTGGTCTAGCTTCAATTGACACATGATCTCAACTATTGAAATTACTATAATATCTACAACAACCCCTTTTGATATTAAATAAATCTATTAATAAAATGGATGCATATATACATAATTTACCGCGATTCGATGTTAAAATTGTTGTTTATATTCAACACTGTTAAATATTGTGAAGAAGAGGAAACAAATCCATCGATATATAAATTAAGTTAATAAGATATCGAAATATTTATATTGATTAATAATAATTTGAAATAAATGTGATACTATTCTCATTTGAGTATTACAGGCAAACAATATAGAGATTGAATGAATGTTTTCTAAAATAGATTGTCGTATTGTGATAGATTTTACTTCAAAACTGATTAATTATTAGTAATAATAGATAAACCGTTTAAACCAACTGGGCACATATAAGCCGAAGTCAAATGATGCACGGTAAAATAAGATAGTCTGCTCTCTTGAATAAAAAAAAATAAAAGAAAAAAAGAAAATTTTAAATAAAAAAAATAAATCTTTCATACTATGGTTGAGCGTTGACTGAAAGTATTAATGTGTCATTGCCTTTTTTTATACCACTTGTTTGTAAAAGATTACTTTAAAACTAATATAGAATACCATCAAGATACTTGAGCTAGACACTAACGTTATCCCTAAAATATTCAACGATAAAATACAGTACACCAAGGAAGAAGTCAAACTAAATTTATTTAACATCAGAGTCGTTTGTTTTTGTTTTTTAATTTCGAATGTAACAGTTAACTGATACAAACAGTAAATGGACATTGAGAAACTATGTAAATCAGAAAAGAAGTTTAATACAGCTATCTGATAATACATACGTTAAAGAATAATAATCAACTAACCAGAAAGTAAGTAATTTGTAGCCTGTTTTTACGCCTTCTTAGTCGTCACTTAATATACATTCCATTAAACTAATTAATTTTAGAATCCATCCTATTTAATACACTGAAATTATTTATTTCCTTTTAACTTCTCTATTCTATAATATAATATAGAGTAGGGTGGGCATTAATTAACTAGTGTCAGTATGTGTGTGCCTGAAAGTTGGATGAATATGCATACAGAAGTTAAGAATTGCCCAAATCAAGACAATACAATAAATGGATGAAAGAATAATACCCTCTAAAAGTGATCAATAGTTATCCGATTGGTTACTTTAGCTTCATTTCAGAAATAAATATATAAAGACTGAAATAGGCTATGTATTTGTAAACTGACCAATCATGGAATTAATAAGACCGTCATCAATGATAAAATATACTGAAATAGGCTACCAATAAAATATAAAAGGCATGGAATACAATAAGAAACTTGATGTGACCAATAAGAGAAATTGTAGGATAAGTGAAGAGGTTTCACCAGAAATACTCTCATACCCACCAACAGATTTTCATTCCAAATTGTCTGCCTTTTTTCTATTATTATTATTATTATTATTATTATTATTATTATTATCAATTTTTGTAAATATGTATGCAGTCAACTTTGTGGTGTAAATTTCCCGAGTATTGTTGAAGTTGTAAATGAATTTCCTAGATTACCTTGCTTGTATATATCATATCCGGTTATGAAAAGGGACACAGGAAATTGTTATGGAAAGTGTTCAGTTCACTGAATAACAACATTTTTTTTACTACTTACGCTTTAAAAAACTCAGTCAACATTTGGAAAAGCGTTTATAATTGTCTTGTTAAACAAAGCATAGGAGTACTCTGATGAAATTGAAACACTTTGGTAATATTAATAAACAGAATTCTTCGAAGTGAGTACAGTAAAGTAGCAATTATACGATGATCAGAATACGATCATTTTATAAATAAATTTACATCTTCATACCTGAGGTCATAATAGATTTCCGGTTAAACATTTCATTGTAATTCAGTTCAACTTAGATTTATCCCTCTAGAAAAGTAAATAATCTAAGGTCAATATCCTTTGTATATGAAACACCCACGGAGGTGTTTCATATTTCTCATAGAAATGAAAAAATGCCTGTCAGATGACAGTCAATAACATAATTTATGTAAGATTGATGTTAGTAAAACTCGTGATTTTGAAATTCTGTAAGTCATATGTAATGTTAATTTCTAGCTGTCAGATTAACCTGCTTTCATTCCAATGTTAGCCATAAGGATAAAAAGCTAATTTGTGACATATTAGCTATTTCGTGGCGATTCGTATAGGATACACATGCCAAAAATGACTGTTCGAAATTCAGCTATAATTACCAACGACAAGGCGATTCGAGTCCGTTGGTCAGATTAGTGATTATCGTAACTCAGTCTTTCAATAGACAACGCGTTAGGCGTTTGAAATGAAAGATCCTGAGTGCCAGGCACTCTAGCTGTGAACTTCAACATTGAGATGAAGGTACATCTAGTTTACGAGTTCTAAGTAGGACGACATGTGCTTACAGAATTCTGTTGCTAGTTACAGACAACCTACTCTAGATTATTATCACCAGTTGAGTTATTTTTAAAAGAATATCCGCTATCCTAAAACACGACATGTTATCCGAAAGCTAATCCTTATTGTTCAATCATCTGAAGATTATATATGTAATTGTTTATGGTAGAATAAATGAACTATTTATCGCTGCCACAATATGATGAAGGAATTGCTTAGTACTTTGAAATTTTAGGTTGTTTGAGTGTCATTTTCTGATAATAAAAACTAGATATATGAAGTTTCTTCTAAAATAAGTTATTTACTAAGCGTTATAGTTTGTTATTATTACTACTATAGAATTCCATACCTGATTTCAGTTTTACCAAACAGATGAAAAGTGCATATCATTCCACAATCACGTCACATACTTTACCAGTTGAACTCATTAGTCGATCTAAGCTAGACCATTATTTAAAACCTGTAAGCACTGCCGGCCGTTTCGTCTTAGTATAGGGCTCCTCAGCAGCGTTTTTCCACGATCCCTCACACGGGACTTAAAACCATGACATTTGGTCTTGAGTACGCTCGATTAGCCTATATACCACTGAGCTGTCATCCAAGGGTGAGCAGACGAAACGACTATTCATTGCTTATAGGTTTTCAATGGTGGTCTAATGTAGGTCGGCTCATGATCCGTTATCTTGCGTAACCCAGTGCTTCCAGATTTTCAATGATAGTCCAGGTTAGATCAACTCATGAATTCAACTACTAAAATTACTACAATCTCCACAAATACCTATTCTGCTTTTATACTTTAATCGGTAAACAGCCAGTACATGAGCATTAAATTAGTTTCTGTTCGCAATTAAGATCGAAATGTAAGATGAAGTTAACATTTCAGCTTTATATTGATAATTTGGTCCGTAAATATGTGAAAATAACTATTTCACCTCCTCTATATAGTAAAACTACTCTGAAAACAGCTTTCGTGATAGATTACGGTTACATGAAGCACCACTGGAACATAAATAATAGTGAAGTGTTTTACTTCAGAATAGGGCCCTTAATATCAATCTGAAATGAATATCATACTCAAATTATTGTACTTTCCATAAACCTTTGATGTTAATTACAATATCTTACTCATTTGTTGTTTGATTTATGGATGACTTACTAAATTTCTAGTGTGATATAGTAGCTAGTAAAGTTCAAGAGGTTCAAATTATTTCACAATAAAGGCACCGTATAATCGTCTTACTATATCGAGAACTGATTAAGGTTGATATTGTTAAATATCAAGTTTCAAATCAATAGTCTGAAAACTTTAATTTTGATTCCCTCCTGAGAGGTTTTGTAGGTACATCACTACGGAACCCTATATAATGATGAAAAATTTGTCCAGTATCCTCTAATTTTCAATTAACATCCAGTTGATGTAAATCCATAAAATAAAACATCTCTAAATTAGACTAATCTTTCTAAACAAGACTGTATATTCAATAGATGAATAATTTTTTGGCACAGTAACATAATTTAAGCTGTTCGAAAAATATATTATATTAAAACTTACAGACATATGTAGTATTGTTTCTATGTCTCACTTTATTACTGAACTGTATAATTAGCATCATACATTATGCTTTAGTGAGGAAAACATCATTTGTATGGATGTGTTTAATTGATTAAAATAAGAAAATGAACTTAAATAAGAAGAGTGAAGAAAGTAATCCTTTATTATTCTCCAGTTAACCTTCTGGGAGTAGTTAAAGTGAGAGAATGTAAGAGTAAGCTCATAACAAAAAAAATGGGCCAATACTAAATTTTCATGAGAATCTTATATCAACCAATATGACAAAAAAACCCAGAATAATTATCATGGTTAAATAATATTAAAGTTACAAGTGATATGAAAATGACTGAATTAGTGAACACCTTCCGTTTTGAAAAATTAAAAAAAAAATTAAAATAAGATCATAATCACTAATTATTTTTTTATTTTGTCCAGTGATTCCAGGTTTTCCATGATGGTCTAGTTTCAATTGCCCCAACTATAAGAATATAAATATTATAAAATTTAGAGTATTATCATTATTTTCGA